CTAACATGTATAAAGTAGTGTAAGCATGTTTGGAATAGAATTGAACATTGGTAATGCTTGCAGTATGCTGGCTAAAATATGCCAAAATTGATTACAGATAGTTCTTGACTTATGACCAATTACTAAATCAACTAAATAAGTTGAGGACTAGCTGTAATTTTGTCCTTGCTGTTTACAGAGCATATGACATGAGGAATAGATGTGAAAATATACAAGACTTGCTTATGATGATGTTAGAAGTGGGTTTGTCAAGTATGTGAATGTATGGTATATGTACTTTTCAATTTAGAAATTGCCATGTTTTGGCTGAGAACCCCAAATATTTCCAGTTGCTAGGAGCAATACTATTGTGAGGAATCTGGATCTGAAAATCAAAGTGGTGGTGGTGATGATGATGATAATATTCCAATTTCAACTTTGGCAATTGACCAAAGTTCTTGTGTTGATAATGACAGTAAGTGATGGCAATGCATATATAAATGGCAAAAATTCAATACAAGTAGTTGAATGTATATACGTTGGTAGAATATTAATAAACATTGAGACAATGGATAAAAAATGAAGGTGTGCAAATTTATTTATTTATTTATTTATTATTACTACTGTAATGCTCTCTACATGGGGCTCCCTGTGAGGAGCACCCAGAGGCTCCAACTGGTACAGAATGCGGCCACGTGGGGATTATGGGAGCGATGGGGCGCTCCCATATGACACCCCTCCTGCGCGAGCTGCACTGGCTTCCAGTGGTCTTCCGGGTGCGCTTCAAGGTGTTGGTTACCACCTTTAAAGTGCTCCATGGCTTAGGGCCTGGGTACTTACGAGACCGCCTTCTGCCACCGATAGCCTCCCACCGGCCAGTACACTCCCACAGAGAGGGACTCCTCAGGGTGCTGTCGGCCAGATAATGTTGGCTGGTGAACCCCAGGGGGAGAGCCTTCTCTGTGACGGCGCCCACCCTCTGGAACGATCTGCCCCCGGAGATACGTAGGATCCCTGATCTCCGTGCTTTTTGCCGTGCCCTTAAAACATTTTTATTTCATCAAGCCGGGCTGGCTTAAACCCCCCCCCGTTAGATATTTTTAATTGTTAATTGATTTTAGTTGGGGTGTTTTAAATTTATTGGGCCAAAATTTGTTTAATTCTTTTTTAAATTTTTTTTAAATTAAATTAAATTTTTTTATGTGATGTTTTTATTCTTGGCTATTCACTGCCCTGAGTCCAGTGGGAGAAGGGTGGTATAAAAATCTAATTTAAAAAAAAAAGTGACTCTGGATGGCTTACATCATAAAAACATTAAAGCCTTTCTCTTTCTCTATCAAAATTTCTTATCAAAGATATTGCTTACTTTCAAAATATGCAATGCTTAGGACATCCCACCATTCTAAAAAGAGGGTCCCAAAAAAAGAAAACTTGGAGTTCCCGTTTCGGAATCCAGTTTATCTGAACTGCTAGCCAAAAAAACCAACAAAAAACAATCATACATCACAAGTTGGAGGAAAGGCCCACACAATAGGTTCACAGTTATTACGTCTTTTGTAATCCTTCTCCCAACATTACTCAGCATGCAGACTGAGCCAGCCTGTAGGTGGGCTAGTTATTGGCAGGATGAATGTCTTATGCCAAGTCAAATTTGAAGCTGTAACTCAAAACATTATTGCCATTTTTAACATTCTAGTAGCATGAGATTTCACTCTGTCCCTCCCAGTTCCTGGTCAATTCCTTGCTCCCCAAAAGGGCTTTGTCTCAGTAAATTTAGGTCAGTTAATACAAACAGGCAATGCATGGGTTTCACAGTTCTTCAGGTAAAGAAGCAAAGGTTTCACACCAGTGCCAGGAGGAACCTTCCTTTACTTTTATTTATTTATTTATTTTTCATATTTGTATACCGCCCTACTCCCGAAGGACTCAGAGCGGTGAACAGCCATAATAAATACAAATACATATAGAAGTTAAAAACATTAAGAAACAGATTAAGTAATTTAGGCTCAAAGATTAAAAACATCCAAATTTATCTAAAGAGGTTTAAAACCCAATTTAAAAGCCAGTTTAAAAGCCAATTAAAAAGGGGGAGTTAGGCCAGACCAGCTTGTTGGAATAGAAATGTTTTCAGGGCACGGCGGAATATGCGTAAGTCTTGGATGTTTCGTAACTCCGGGGGAAGCCCGTTCCAGATGGTAGGTGCCCCCACAGAAAAGGCTCTCCCCCTGGGGGCCGTCAGTCGACATTGTTTGGCCGACGGCACCCTGAGGAGTCCCTCTCTATGGGAGTGAACTGGTCGGTGACAGGCTATTGGTGGCAGGAGGTGGTCTCGTAAGTACCCTGGTCCTGAGCCATGGAGCGCTCTAAAGATAGTAACCAAAACCTTGAAGCGCACCCAGAAGACCACTGGGAGCCAGTGCAGCTCGCGCAGGAGGGGGGTTACATGAGAGCGCCACATTGCTCCCATTACCACCCGCGCAGCCGCATTCTGGACCAGTTGGAGCCTTCGGGTGCTTCTCAAGGGGAGCCCCATGTAGAGAGCATTACAATAATCCAGGTGTGAGGTGACAAGGGCGTGAGTGACCGTGCGTAACAAGTCCCGATCCAGAAAGGGATGCAACTGGCGAATCAGGCGAACCTGATAAAAAGTCCTCCTGGCTACGGCCGTCATATGCTCTTTAAAAGACAGCCGTGAGTCCAGGAGGATGCCAAGTTGCGAACCCCATCTGTGGGGGCCAACGACTCGCCCCCAATAGTCAGAGATTTTGAGTTTTAAGAGTGCAAAACCTGAATCAGAAAATATGAAAACAAAAAAAGGTGGAATTAAAAAATATATTTTTTAAATGCACCTTTGGGATCCTAGTAAATGGATATTATAGTGGGAGAAGTTCAGGCATCTATTTTCCCTCATTATCTTCCAGGACTTTGACAGTAAAAGTTTAACAGGATTTCAAGTTATTCCAAAAGTGCTTTTTTTTCCCCAAAGAGGCAACTGGACTTTCTGGTTTTTCTTTGTTTTTTTTTAAATTTGTTTTATTAAATTTTTACAATTAAACAATCATTATTCAACTCTTGTGCATTATTGTGACCATATCATCACACTAGCATTCACCTATACTAAATATTTGTACTAAATCTACCTTCTATTATTTTCCTTTTTTTTCTATTTTCAATCCAATTATACCATTTCTCCCATATTACGTAAAAATCCGAGTCCATCAAATCCTTTCAATTCAAGTGTCATTTTGTCCATCTCGGCATGACCCAATATCTTTTTAATTATTAAATCTTCAGAAGGTATATTTGAGCTTCTCCAACATTGCGCGAAGGCCAATCTTGCCGCAGATTCTGGTTTTTCTTTGAAGACGTTTCGCTTCTCAGCTGAAGAAGCTTCTTGGATGAGAAGCGAAACCTCTTCAAAGAAAACCCAGGAAGTCTAGTTGCCTTTTGGGTAGGGGGGGGGAAGGTACCTTTGGAACAACCATGCCTTGGATGACTGAGAATCTCCATAGACAGGATTTCAAGTTATTTCTGAAAGGCGAAAGATTTATACGATCTGAAGAGAAACCAGAGTATGGCTCAATGAAATGTTGGCGCAGCATATACAATTGCGTCCTGAGGTATTTTTATTAGGGATAAGACCCGAAAATGTTAATAGAATGGCATGGTACCTGCTGCTGCATATAACAACAGCTGCAAGATTGGCATGGGCCCAATACTGGAAGATGGATGTTAGCCCACCCAAACAAGTAGTAATTCAGAAAATAATGAATTGTGCGGAATCAGATCAGCTTACTATGTTACTGAAAGGACGGGGGGGGGGGACACAGATTATTATATATCTTGGAATCAATGGTATAATTGGATGTCAAATCGAGCTATAAATAGAGATATCGGATAAGCATGTCAATTGGTATATGTAATAGACTTTTGTACGTTACCCTATATATGTAACGGGACAAGTTTATTTCCTTCTCGCGTTGTGATGTAGACCGCTATAGATTTAATGTTTGTTGGATGTATAAGATAAAATTAAATTTAAAAAAAAAAGTTATTTCTGAAAGGTTTAAAAGACAGAGAGAGAGAGAGAGAGAGAGAGAATAAGTTTTGTCTTGCCTGTAAAGAAAAAGGAAGAATTATCTCAGGTCAAGTTCAATCTTTTCTAGCTAGTGTTCCCCTCAAGTGTTGAGAAGCTGAAGAGGTCAAGTTCTCAAGAAGCTCCCAAAACATTTGTTAGGGAGAATAATGGGCCAATCTCAAGACATGTCACAGCTCCGTCCAGAGAGCTTTGGAGTCTAAAGAAAGGAAGGACCCGCGCACAGCCTTCCCTTCTGTTCTCTAAAGAGGGTAGGTAATGCTGGGAGAATCCAGCTACAGATGAACGGGATTCTCGCCTGCCACGTCCAGCCAGAAGCAGCGGACGGTGCGTGCCTCGCCTTGGCCATCCTCTCAGCATCGGCTGAATTGACCAAGTGGGCTAAAGAGGGAGGGGGGGGCGAGGAGGAGAAAGAAAGCCGCCCGCTTCCAGGGTACCAACGCTCATCAATATTCCCAAAGCTCAACTTTCTCCCCCCCCCCCCCCCTCCATCTCTTCCCGAACACACGTTTTACTGTTCCGCGTGTGCCTTCCATTCCCACCACCACCCCGTCCCCAAACTTGGCTTGGTAGACTCCTCCCCTTTCCTTAACTCGCTGCGATTTGCCAGCGGAGTACACGCTTTTTGCCTAACTTCGTCTCCCTTTACTTTATTGTCAACACACCAAACCCCCCTTTTTATCGCATTGGTATCTTCTGGGGAACCTTACCTTTGCCCATTTGCCCCTCGGAGGACTCCAATTTTGAAAAGGTGGGTGCGTTTATTAATTTCCAATTCTGTGCGTTCCTTTCTTCGCTTTTCTTCCTTTTTTTCCCCCCTTTCATTCCTACACCCCCCACCCCACCCCCCTTGCCCGGTTGGATGCGAGCGCACCTTGGCGTTGACTCGTTTCCCTTCCTCGGGATTTAGAAGAAAATGAGAAGGAAGGTGGGAAGAGAACTTTTAATGCTCTGGATCTGGGATGTGGAGAAAGATTGAATATCTGGTTTGGTTTGGTTGTTTGGGTTTTTCTTTTTAAGCAAGTGTTTATGACGCTTTATGCGAAAATTGTATTTTTGTACAAGGATGGATGGGCAGTGGGATTTCCCCGCCTGCCATCTGAAGTGGGTAGAAATGAATATTTAGTCACAGAGGCAAAACAAAAGGATCTGGTTTTTGAGTGAGCGCGCTTTTATTAAAATTCTGTCGTTTTCAGGAGTTTGAGAGAGAGAGGGGAAAAGAAAGAAAGAACAGGATTGTTGAGTGAAGAGTGAAGTTCCAAATGCATAACTGGGTGTAGATATTATAATTTCTGATCTATTAGAATATTACTGAAGGAGGCTTATTAGCAGTAATAAGTTATTATTAGTAATAAGTTATTGGCAGTAATTTTCAACTGTTTGGAACCCCCGGCACAATATTGAATATATAGCAATAGTTCTATATCTATATTGGCTTGAGGGGAAATTCTACATCTTTTATTGTTATACACTTAAGAATTAGGAAATAAGACAAAAGTCTTATATCTAGTACATCTTATATCTTATAATATCTGGTACACTAGAAACAAATCTGTGACACACCTGCCACTGAACCATTGAACTGTAATTAAAGAGGAATCTGTAACTGTGAAAGTGAATTTGATTTAAATCAATGAGTTTTTTAAAAAATCTGCAGGCACTGCATTGGGTGTGTGACGTGTGAGATTTGGTTGATTGTGATTTACAATAAAGATGCAGCCTCCCTTATAAACACTTGTACTAATATTGCCCTGAGCCTTCAGAGCCTTCCTGAGCCTTCGGAGCTGCCCTGAGTCTTCGGAGAGGGCCGGCATACAAATTGAATTAATAATACTGCAACTTTAAATTCTTAGTTGCCCTGTTAGTAAAGTAACTACAGCGTGCATCTGAGACAGGAATGCATCTCAGAACATTCTTCTGAAGTAGCTGAACATGTCAGGTGTGATATATGCCAAATCTCAATGGATTATTAGAAACAACGTTAAAAACCTAGCATAACTACTGCAACATTGGCCTTTTCTAAGATTGTATTGCGTTAAATTAAATTTCATTGACCTTTCAGAGAGTGATAAATATATGCTTAAATTTCACGCACATGAGGCCTTGATGATACAGTGTTTTAGACACATTTGGGGGTTTTACTGTAGAATACAATTTTGGGATGAAAAGGACCAGGATCGTTTAACTTTTCTTTTAGCTCACATGTCTTATGTATTAATGAGAATTATTCCTTTCTTCTGTGATTCAATGTAAAATGGGCATATATTGTCAATATCATTTTTCCAGATTCATCATGATAAGCTCACTGTTGTTTGATTTTGATTTCCATCCATACTAAGTTAATGTTGTAATAATTCTGGATTTTTAAAAAATGTTGAAGCTAAATTTGCAAGTCAATATTATGTCATTTTTGGCTTTTTTTGATGGCTAGTTATTAAAAAGTTAACTGCTAATAAGTATGAACTTGCTTACTGATATCTATATTTTAAATAATCTATTTTTAAGAATGTTATTACAGAACATGATTTTTCTTTTAAAAATGTAGCTAATTATAGATTAAACTCACATTCTTTTTATTTTTTCTCTGTAGGTCTTATCTCTGGTCAAAAATATTTTTTTTAATTTAATTTTTTTTGTCCCTTGTTATTACTGGGAAGATTTTTAAGAACACAGAAAAGGGAGATTTTTTAAAAAATTCCTGAGACAGAAATGACTAAAGTTAACGGTGAAGACACAAGATCGGGGAATAGGATGGAGCGCTTCCAGCAAGGAGTCCGGAAACGTACTCTTATGGCAAAAAAGAAGGTTCAAAACATCACAAAGGAAAATGTTAAAGGTTACTTACTGAGAAATTTTTTTGTGCTTTTCACTGTCATTGCAGTCATTGTGGGTGAGTAATTTGATCAAGACCAGAATCTTGAAAATTTTGTTTGGACAATGTTATTGCTGTTCATTTCCCTTCCCTGCTGAGAACACATTGTTGCTCCAAAATTTTTTAGTCTGATCCTTTATGTTGGGTAAGCCGTAAAGAAATATTTTCCCCTTTTAGAGTTGTAGTTCTGCCTGCCCTTACATATCCCATCAGTTTAGCTCTAAAGGGACCCAATTGGAAAGAAATTACTTCAGCTGTTTAAAGCATCCAATTTTTAAATAATTCCTAAATTAGGCATTCATTGCAGTATCTCTTGATATTTGTTAGAAATAAAAGAAAATCATCTACAGTCTTAGCCCACTCCCTATTTATTTTCCATCATTTCCAAGCTATAAATAATTAGACATATCAAATATCATTTAATTCTGATCAATGCCAAACCATAGGATAAGAATTTCAACTAAAACATTTAGTTCTCTTTCTCTTTTTTATCAGAGTTGAACTCGTGCCTTCAACGTCATGTTTCACATATTCTACTCGTGTCATTCAATCATTGATGGGAGATTTACCTGGCAAAAATAAAATAAGGGGATTTTGTTCCATATTGTTTGTAAAGTGGATTACTGTAGGGCAATGTTGGCAAAGATTTAATATTTTGAATATTTCTTAGTTCAGAAGGATAAAGGTTGGTTTGGGAAGAATCCTTGCTCCTAGGGACTTTATAGCAACCTAAATCCAAAGACTTGGTGTAACTTGTTCTGTGTGTCAAGAACATAGGTTTGTGTTTTCAATGCATTGGATTTTCTATTTGTTGGTTTGCAAATGCTTTGATTTTTCTAAAAAAAATTTTTTGACAAGGGTAAGATAGACATTGAGATAATGATGATGATGATGGTGACGACGATGATGAGTTTTCCCTTCAACAGATGAATAGTTGGCATCTTTTTTCATTCAGGATTGCATGCATTCAACTCGCGTTGAGCACAGCTAAAGAGCTTCTTGAACTTTAGTCATTGGGCTTTGCTTTGCAAAAGAAAGTATTTTTATAAGAAGAAAAAAATAAACCAAGTGAAGGAAAGTATTTGAATCAACAAAAATAATTTCTATGATGTATAGTCATAATCTTTATTTTATTTAAAGGGAGTATCAGGTACTTAGATAACATTAAAAACAAGGAAAGAATGTTTGCTTATTGTAATCAAAGGAACTAAGTTAGTTTGCTTCATAATCCCCTGTATGAAAAGGACTTTAGAACTATTTCCCTAAAGATTTACAGGAAGAGAAACCATTTTGGAGAGAAGATGTTCAAAACATAATGGTACAGGTCCCAAAGGTGTTTTTTTCAAGAGGCAACTGGACTTTCTGTTTTTTCTTTGAAGACGTTTCGCTTCTCATCCATGAAGCTTCATCCAAGAAGCTCATCCAAGAAGCTGAAGAAGCTTCTTGGATGAGAAGTGAAACATCTTCAAAGAAAAAACCAGAAAGTCCAGTTGCCTCTTGAAAAAAACACCTTTAGGATAACCATGACCTGGATGACTGAAAACCTCCATAGACAGAAGTTGGTACAGGGTTTCAAAATCATTTCCCAGGATCTCCTAGTATTTCTATCTTTTGCTTAACCTTACATCGTTGCAGATTTTTATAGTGTGTTGGGATCTGAATGCCCTCTGTATAAGCCCCACTGAAAAGAATGGGAACATGCAAGAGAATGGTCATCTTGTGTATGTTACATTCCTTTCACGTGGATGTACAATCTAGGTGTAGTACAGCAGAAACTGGGAAGTTCACCTAACCACATCACTTCCAATTGCAGACAGTGGAAGTGGATCTGACAAAAAATGAGGCATCCAATTATTACTCATAATGATTAGTAAGTAAGCAAGCGCAGTCTTAAGTAAAAGCTTTTCTTTGTATCTTTATCACTTTACCAATATGACTCCCAAGAGGAGACTTATTTTGTGGAGTCATAATCTGCTATTTCTAAAAGCAATCCAGGAATAAATCACATGCTCTCAATGGGATTTATTTCCAAGTGGACATATATATTACTCCATGCATGGGAAATATATTCAGTTCTAGAAACAATCAGAAAGCCTCTGTTTTATTCTTTGACTCAATATTTAATAAGTATTTTAAGAGTGGATTTCTTATGGCAAAGGATTGATTAGGCTTAGAACTATGCTGAATGTAATGCCTTTAGATCCTTCTCTAAATATAATTAATGGGCAATGATTCCTTGATTATATTGAAAAATAATTCTAAGGACCCATTGTTGTGAAACAATTATGGAAATAATTCCAAAGAACTATTTTGCTGTGTAACTTGAATTGATTGCAAAACCCTATTTAGATCAGATATGAGAGAGTTAGATTCACAAGCTTTGAAGCAGCAGCAAAAATTATGGCTATAACTTGTGAAAAAAACTGGGGGGGAAACTGACTGCCTTGGTACCATTAGAAAAAGGAAATAGGCTGAATAGCAGAACACATGCATTTATTTCAATTTTACTAGGATGTAAATCAACTATTTGAGGTGACAATCAAACTTGAAACTGTGATTGTGTTGCCTCAGTTAAAAAAACCCTGAAAGACTTTCCCATTTAAGGTAGCAAAGAGGAGTTTTTTTCCCTTGAATATTATTCCAACAAAACTAACTAATGAAGCAAAGACCATGGTAAGAAAACAAAGTTTACATGTACACATAGCACATGGGTAGGTGGACTACATTTCAGAGGAGTTACTGTTCCCTACTTTTTCTTGTCAGTTGTATCTGGCAAAATATGAAATTGACAGTCTGAAAATGTAAAAAACAAAAAAACAAAACCTCCAGTAAACTAATGTATTTTTAAATGGCAATTAGATCAATTTTAGAAAGTTTAGTAAATGTGAAGTGTTCATGTCTTGGTTTGCTGAAATGAAATGATGCTGATAGAATCGTAGGTTTTCGAATACATTTTCAGAGGCATCTTTTTTTTTTTTTAATTTGATTTATATGCCGTCCTTCTCCGGAGACTCAGGGCGGCTTACAATGCGTTAAGCAATAGCCTTCATACTTGTGTTTATTTATACAAAGTCAGCTTATTGCCCCCACAAACTGGGTCCTCTTATTCCTGTAAATTATCTTTTCAAATAGTTTACAGGAATATGGAATTTGAGTAACATAAGTTTTATGAGTAACCAAATAGCAGTGTAGCATGCATGTGTTTGTGTAAAATGACAGACATGGGTGTGAGAATACACACATACACAAACACACATAAGCAGTTTGGGTAATGGTGGATGTGTCCATTTCACAGAGGGACATGTTTAATTGGCTGAAGTTGGGAAAAAAGCATTTGAACTGAGAACAAGCAGATCTAATGGCTATACCCTGAATGTAAGTGGCCCTTAAAGAGAAGTATTGCAGTGGTTCAAAGAGTTTATAATAAAAATTCCAGTCTATGATGTCAGTGATGAAGGCGAGCAGCCTAAAAATTAAATATTCATTAGGGCAGTCCTCATTGCAATTGCTATGGGTGCAACTATTGTGTTCTTACTGAACTAACTTTCATGTTAGCCTTCACTCTGGACAAAAATGGTAGAGCAGAAATTTAGAACATATAGAATACCTGTCAATTCCTTGTTAACTTTGGATATCATACAAGCCAAATATCTGATGCAAATATTGAGGATGGCATTGAATATCAATTCTAGGCCAGCTCACTCTCTTATAACCTTAGAAATACAATAGGCGCAGGTTTCTGGCAACCTGCGAGCATGCCTTTTCTTCCTCTAGTTTAAGGAAAGGATTATATCACAGCCAGGTATAACATCCTTCCATCGGTGCTACTAACTGGCAGGTAGGCTAACATGTCCCTGTCTCAGTGTACTTGCCCTTTTGATTCTGGGAAAATTGACAAAATTCAACATTTCCTTTTTTATTGTAACTTTTATAAGGATCTCCTAAAGCAGGGGTGTCAAACTGGATTTCTTTGAAGGCCAGATCAGCATTGTAGCTTCCTCGGCAGGTTGGCTGGGGGTAGGTGGGTGGGTGGGGGAGAGATGGGATGGATGCCTCCTGCAGTTTGCCAGCCAAAACGGGGCATGGGGGGCTATGTGCAGCCCTGTTTTTGGCCTGGACGGCTTCCTGCAGCACTTTGCTGGCCAAAACGGGGCACAGAGAAGGCACACGCACCCTGCACCCCATTTTGACTGCCAGAGGCACTGAGGACTGGTCCTCTGCTATTTCCAGGCCTGCCCCGCAGGCCAAATTTAAGCACCCCATGGATCGGATACAGCCTGTGGGCCTTGAGTTTGACACCCCTGTCCTAAAGGATATCATAACCCCTCTTTTACTAAGTACACCTGGGAGAATGGACAATTTTTACATCCTGAGACTTAAACCATGAAACCGTCTACACAGTAGCCAAATTTAAAATGAATTAAAATGAAACAACAACTAATATCAAACATAAATGGAAAATCCTTTTTCTTTCTTTTTCTTTCAACTGTTTTGATTCTATCAGGTTGTATCTTTTGCTGATCTCTGATCATGAATAATTTGAATTAGAACTAACGGATATAAAGCAGCTCAAGGACAGGAGGCAAAATCTCCCATGACATCAGAATTCAATTAGTAAATGTAAATTAGCAAGAAATATTCCCTACCTTATAAGTATAATAAAATGACAACAATATACTAGAACAAACTGTGTAGTATAATATTAGCCCTTGTATCAAAAATAAGCTTGAAATGATTCAGTGGGATATAGCAGGGTTCTCCAACTTGGTTCCCCACAAATGAGTGATAAATGTAACACTTAGTACTCCAAACCAACAATTGGCCTTCATCAGATTGCCAGGTTATAAAATCTGAAAATAAATATATTGAAGACAAAATAGCTGGTGCTGCACTTACAATACAAATCCTTGCTAAGGTGATACAACATTTAACCTGTATAAAACAGTGATCTATAATTATTAATCTGTGTGGTCATGACTATCAATTAAATTATAGTCTCTGCTTTGAAAAATAACTGA